TTCATGAACCAAGGTACCACTGACCATAGTCTGCCAAAAAATATATATATATACATACTTCAGGAAAAGAAAAACTCATATGAATATTTTAATACTAAATTTAGTGAGACTTTGTGAGTTTAACACAAGTTACCTTTGGCCTCTACAATTACAAGAAGTGCTCAGAGTGGTGGCCATCAGCTTCCAGACATTCATTATTTTTCTTTTCCTGAAATGTGTGTACATTTTTCAGAAGACTGTATATGTCATTGTGCATTTTTTATTGTGGTAAATATGCATAGCATAAAACTTTAACCATTTTTAATGGTGCTGGGATCAAACTCAGGGCATTGCACATGGTAAGCAGGTGCTCATGACTAAGCTACATCTCCAGTCTCTGTTTTAAACATTTTATGTGTAGGCTTTGGTGAGTATATTCGTGCCTTTGTACAACCATCACCACCATCCATTTCCATAACTTCTCATCTCCTGTACCGAAACCCTGTCCCCATTAAATACTGGCTCCCAGCTCCTCTCCCCAGCCCCTAGCAATCACTATCCTACTTTCTGTCTCTATGAAGCTGAGTACTCTAGGGATATCTTCTAAGTGGGAATCATAGTGTAATTGTCTTTTTTATGGCTGGCTTATTTTGTTTAGCATTATGCTGTCAAGTTTCATCCATGTGTCAGACATTCCTTCCTTTTTTAGGGGTGACCAATATTCCACCATATTATACTCTACATTTCCTCTGGCCATCAGGAAGCTTCTACTTTTATGCCCCTTTATCTATCTATCTACCTATCTATTTATTTATTTATTTTTGAGATGAGGGCTCATTATGTTGTCCAGGCTAGCTCTGAACTCTCAAGCTCAAGTGATTCCCCTGCTTCAGGTTCTTGAGTAGCTGGGACTGTAGGCATGCCCCACTGTGCCTGGTTTTGCAGTTTTTAAACAAGCAATAGCTAATTTAAAATAGAGGAAGAAGGAAGACTAGGGAGAAGAGGATTAGGTCTGGGACATGTCTGTGCCCTGAGGGTAGCTCAGGAGTAGGGGACCCAACAGCCAGCGACAGGAGGAAGCAGACAGCCCTGCCATCAGCATCCGAAGAGTGGCTCTCACCTGCAGCCCCAAGAGCAATTATCCTTCTTTGAAAGCTGGTCCTCTGTGCCCCATCCAGGCACCCAGAGTTCCCAACACACCATGCCTTCCCCTTTCAAGCTCCTGGAAGCCAGGGACTCCAGAAAGCAGGGGCCACCGGCCCGCAGGTGTGGTCTCCATCCTTCAAGCCCACGATATGGGATGGGGACCAGCACTGCCACGGAGGCTGAGCTAGCAGGAGGGGCCTGGGGTTTGCCAAGGCCCTGGGGACCCAGGTGCTCTCCAGTGGGCACCCCCCAAGGCCCATCCAAGGAGGGGCCTCGGCCCCAGAGAGCCCTGTAAGAAAGCCCCAGGTTCGGTGGAAGAACCACCAGCCGGTTTTGTCACCCACTCACAATTCTTGACAGGCTCTGGTTGCAGGGCGACTTCCACATTTAAAGAATATTTCTCCTTTTGGCCCCAAGTTTTCCTCAGGACACATTTTAAATGTCCGAGCAAGTTCTTAGAGCAGCTCAGTGATCACCAGGACATCGACCACTGAGTGACAACGATTTTATTTTATTTTTATTTATTTATTTTTTGTCTTTTTGAGACAGGGTCTTGCCATGCAGTTCAGGCTGGACTTGAGCTCACTTTGTAGCCCAGGCTGGTCTTGAACTCACAACGATCCTCCGGCCTCAGCCTCCTGAGTGCTGGGATTATAGGTGTGCGCCACCACACCCTGCGAGATGATGATTTTAACGTTCACTTTGCCATTTTTTGTTTTTGTCTCTCCCTTTCTCTCTATAGAATACACACTCACACACGTATTGTGCATATACATGCTAGTAACATACATTTATATGTATACAGCGTACTAAACACACATCACTAGATCTATAGACATAATAGCCAAATGTATGGATACACATACATATATAAATACACACATAATCTACATCTATACACACATATATTGTTCCATATATACATATATTTTTCTTTGAAATTAAAGTCAAAATTACATTCACTTTGAAATTCTTCAGTGTGCATCTCCTAAAAATAAGACCATCCTCCTACAGAACCTTAAAGTCTAGCCAGGTGTGATGGCACATGCCTGTAACCAGTGCTCTGGGAAGCTGAGGCAGGAGGATCACAAATTCAAGGACAGCCTGGGCAAATTAGCAAGATCCTGACTTAATTTTTTTTTATAAAGGGCTAGGGACATAGCTCAGTGCAAAGGCCCTGGGTTAAATCCCCAGTACTAAAAACAAAAAGAAAGTCTAATGCACCTAAGAAAATCAATAATAAAGCCCTGATATCAAGCCTATACTCAAATTTCCCAGTTGTCCTCTACTGGTCTTTTACAGGTATCTTTCAGAGCTAGAATTCAGGCTGAGTGTGGTAGCACAGGCCTGTGATCCCAGCACCCGGGGGCAGGAGGATCGCTGTGAATTTGAGGCGAGCCTGAACTACATAGCGAGATCCTGTCTCAAAAAAGAAAAAAGAAAAAAAAATAGAATTTGATCAAGGTCCACATACTGCATTTGGTTGTTAAATCTCTCACGTCTCTTCCAGTCTTCAGTGTCTTATCCGTGTTATCCCTTTTTTTTTTTAAGTACTAACTTTTTAATGACTCCAGGAAGTTGCCTTAGAGGAGGTCTGAAGGTCCCGCTTCCAGAGTTGTCTCATTGTTTCCCTGGGCTCATTTATCTTGTAGTTCCTCTGTTTCTTAAAATCGCAGCTTAGTACTACAGCCTCGATTCAACTGGTGGGGGGAAGGAAATGCCGTTTTTAAAAAATTTTATTTATTCATTTTTTGAGACAGGAGCTTTCTCGGTAGTCCAGGCTGGACTTGAACTTACAGTTCTCATGCCTCAGCCTGCTGCGTGCTGCGATGCTGGGCATTCACCACCAGGCCCGTCGGGAGGGACACTGCTTTTATAGGTAGAACATGCATGATGTACACTGACCGCCTCAGCTGTTTTTAAGTGTGCGATACAGGGGCACTGAGCACGATTACACTGTTGTGCCCCTGTCACCACCATCCGTCTCCAGAACTTGGTGTCTGGCAAACCTGAGACTCTGTCCCTGTTGGACACTAACTGCTGCTCCTCCTCTGCCGCCCCGACAGCCCAGCCCATTTATGCCTGTGTGGATCTGACTTCTCTGGGGAGCTCAGCAGTAGAATCAGTTTGTCTTTTGTGGCTGGCCCTGGGGACAAGAGGTCCTCCTGGGCCATGTGGAGGACACTGCCTGCCAGCCTTTCCTGTCTGGCTGCCCTGGTCTGCCGCCTTGTTGCCCCAAGAGGCGTTTGCCTCGCAAATCCGGCCTGGAACTTCCTTCCTACCTTGCGGGTTCAGCTTGACAGCCCCCGCTCACGAGGCCTTCCCTGAACAGCCCACCAGAGCCGCTTCCCCTCTGTCTGCCTTTGCTTCCTTGTTTCATTTTCTCTGTGGCCCTCATCACAGCTCGCGGTCCCTGGGTTAGCATTTGCCACTTGGACCTCTATTCTGTCATCCCGTCTCCTCTCTGCACCAGGACCTCTCCTTTTTGTAAGATCCTTGACTTAATCACACCTGCAAAGGCCTTTTCCCCACGGAGGAAGCTGTACTTGCAGGTTTTGGGGTTTGGGGTAGGATGTGGACATTTCTAGAGGATCATTAGTCTGACCACAGGCTCAGTAAATAGATTGTTGAGCGAATAAATAATGGATGTTTGGGTCTCTTTAACAGTGGGATCCCGAGCTTCAGTTCCAGGGCTGGCTCAGGCACCGTGTGGCTGTGTGACCTTGGACAAGTCCCTTCTGGCTCTGAGCCTCAGTTTCTCCATTCATTATTTGTATTCTGAGCTCCTACCATTTACCTGATTCTTGGAAGGCATATAGGAATGCCAAGAAAAATAAAAGGAGAGACTCATCTTCCAAGAGCTTGGAATTCCACATCTGAGGAGCCTGAGAAAGAGAAAGCATGCCAGGGTCTGCTCAAGGCGGTGTCCAGGTCCCTTGGGAAGTGTGCAGTCCTGAGGGGGCAGGCTTACCTAAGAGGTGACATTTCAAATGGCTCTTGACGCATGAGTAGGAGTTTATGTGGTACAGAAGTGGAAAGTAGAATTTACGGCCAGACCCAGGCCACAAATCCCTTTGAGGAACTGTGAATGGTGTGGTGTAATCACTCAGAGAATGGAGACTGTGTACGTTTTGGGATGTAAGGGGTGTCAGGAAAAGAGGCCTTCAAGGCCACAGCCAAGAGCCCCGGCTCTGCTCTGAGGTGACAGGGAGCCACAGTGGGGCTTTGGGCAGCAGAGAGGGGTGTGAAGCTTCTAATCTGAACCGCTGCTCAGGCTGCCACGGTGGGGAGAGGGGACCAAGGGAGATCCAGCCCTGAGGTGGAGGGGCAGAGGGGAAGGAGATGAGGACAGAGCCGAGGGACAGTTAGGCAGCAGAGTCAGGGGGACCTGTGATAGCTCGGTGGGGGGAAGTGGAAGCTGTATGCAAACTGCTGAGTGGCCGGGGCAGGGACTCTGTGAGAGGCCCAGGAAGAGGCCAGTGAGGCAGCAGAGCTCAGTGCCATGGTCCAGAGGCCTCTGTCTTTGAGGAGAGATGGAGACGCAGGTCACCAAGGTGCGAGCGGGGTGGGCATTTGTCCATGTTCACACTGGGTTCACAGGCAACCCCTGAGGCACACAGACCACGCCCCACCACCTCCCCCATCACCTGGGGAAGCCACAGGGCGGCCAGACCCTGGGGACATGGCCTCAGGGAGGCCCAGCTCGAGGGGGATTTTGGGAGTCTCTAGAGACCCAGAGTTAGGCCAGGACGGGGGTCCCCTCAGAGTGGTTCCCCAAGGAGAATTTTTCTGTTTGGAGGAAATGGGGACTTCTCCTTTCATGACATGAATGTCAGAGACTCTGGGCTCCATGGTGACTAAGAGATGCCTGAGCCCAGTGGGTGGAGTGAGTGCTTAAATACCAGGCTGCCTGTCCTCTGGCCACTTGACACCTGGACTGGGACCGCACAGCCAAGCATGGCCAGCCTGCAGGCTCCGCTCTTGGCTGCCCTCGCCCTCCTTTCGGTGATGCTTCAAGCAACTGACGCAGGTGAGGCTGGGGACCAGGGTGGCTTCCTCCTCTCCTAGAAAGAACACTGGATCCCAGTCCACCATTGGCTCCTGTGGCACTGGGGTAGTGACCATGCTTCTTTAGGCCTCTCAGTTTACACATCTGTTAAATAGGTCATCTCAAAGGCTTGGCCACTAGGATCTGCCTCATCTGGGTTTGAACCTGGGGTGAGCAGGGCCTGGACAGGTGGGGATGTAGAGCCCCCAGGGTCAGGCCCGAGTGGGGAAGGACAGAGCTTCATGGAGGACCTTCCCTTGGAAAGCTGGTCCTTCCCTCCCACCACCCCAGCTTTGCTTGGATCCTGTCCTAACCTGGGGTGCTGGGTTCTCTTCCTCACACTGCAGACTGTCCCGCTCCAGGCTGGGCTGGGAGTGAGCACTGGAGTGGAGGAGTCAGCAGCCAGACAAGTGCTGTGCTCAGGCACTGGCTTTCTGGCTTTTTGGTTTTTTCTGGTACCAGGAATCGAACTCACAACCTTGTGCTTGCCAGGCAGGCACTGTGCCACTGAGCTAAATCCCTAGTCCCCGGGCATTGGCTTTCTTTGAGCTTCCCTGGGTTCAGAAATTGTGAACGCTCTCAAAGTCACTGTTACTCTTAGCAACTTGTTCAGAGCTGGAAACTGGGCCTTGGAGATGTTACAAGGTACAGCCATGGTGGCCCAGCAACTCAGGACAGAGCAGGACTAGAGTCCAGGTCTGTGTGACTGTCCCCACCCGTCACTTCATCCTGGCTCTGCCCTAGTCTTGCTGTGTGACCTTAAGCAAGTGCTGCCCCTTTTCTGGACCACAGCCTTGCCATTACACAATGAAGCAGGCCAGAGTCCATGTGAGCTGAGCAAACTTCCCAAGTGTTATATTGGATGCACATGGCCGGGTACAGTAGATCACACCTGTAATCCCAGCTAGTCTGGATGCTGAGGCAGGAGGGTCATAAGTTCAAGGTCAGCCTGGCAATTTAATGACTTAGGTAAACTCTGTCTCCATATAAAATTTAAAAAGGCTGGGGATGTACAGTAGTTTAGCGGTCCCCAGTATCACACACACACATAAAAGCACATGGAGTTTGTGAGCTTGGGGCTGAAGCCTGAGTAGCAGTCACATGTAAGGCTCTGTGCCTGGCTCAGAGGCTAAGACCCATCTAGAAGCTTATTGGGGTTTTGTTTTTGTTTTTGAGATAGGGTCTCGATGGCCTTGAATTCACTATGTGGCCCAGGCTGGCCTCGAATGCACACCCACCTAGAAGTATATTGTTGATGGTCATTGTGAATCTACCGCCTGCAGCAGACCCTCCTGGAGCACAGACATTGAGGCCTTCATGACCTCTCAGAGGCCCCAGTGTTAGTTTTTGCTGGCCTAGAGTCTTCTGGTCACTATCCTTCCAGTGGGGCAGAAACTCTTCCCTGGAGCCTGGAAGGGCTCAAGTCAGAGGTTGTGGCCAAGGGTGACCCTCTGTTCCCCTCCCCCAGGACCCTACGGAGCCAACATAGAGGACAGCATCTGCTGCCGGGACTTCATCCGCTACCCGCTGCCGCCGGGCGTGGTGAAGAGCTTCTACTGGACCTCGGACACCTGCCGCAGGCCTGGCGTTGTGTGAGTAGGGGATTGGCCACCAGGCCTTGGTGAGTGTGGCCTGGGGTGGGCCCGGAGCTGAAGAGGGGGGCAGACTCAGAGATGGGAGGATGGGTAGTTAGACTTCTGATTGGAGGCTTGGCTGGAAGAGATGGCTCTGCCCATGCTTGAGTGTTCTAAGAACAGAGATAACAGGCTGGATCATTGGACAAATATGATTGGATGCCTACCATGTGCCAGGCAGCAGGCCAGGCTTTGAGCTGGATACACAAGGTGCCGCCCAGAGTGGGCGCAGCAGTGTAGGCAGTGTGTAGTCACAGGCTATCGGCTACAGGCTTGAGGGTTGGTGTGGGCAGCCTGCCTGCTGCTACTGCTTCCAAAAGTACCTTAGTCCTCTCCAGTGCCCTGGGATTGTTTGAGGAAGCCCATTCAGATCAAAACAATGCTACAGGGAGTGCTTGCTATATGCTAGTCACTGTGGTCAGCTCTTTAGAAATATCAGCGCCTTTATCCTAGAGGCAGCCTTGTGCGGTAGGTATCACCCAGTCTGCTTTTCACGGCGAAGAGACAGCATGGAGGGGTTAAGGTCCCTCCTCAGCACCACAGGGCACCAGAACAGCAAGTGGGAGGTGAAGAACACACTACCTGGCACGCAGTAGGTGCTTGCTAGAAGCACACACGTGATCCTTGCATTCTGAGCTGGAAGGCACTCTAGATAGAATGTGGCTTGACAGAACAGGAGACAGGCTTAGGGAGGGATGGTGTTTTGCCCAGTGACTGCAGTGGCCAGGGCAGGCTGCCCATAGGCCAAGGCCAGCAGTGCTGGTTTCCTTGTTCTTTCTGTTTGCTGGTCATCTATGTGGTGGGGGCACCCAGCAGATGGGGGGAGCCCTGAGCTGAGGGCAGAGGCATGAAGGGTGTCCCAGGATGTGGGCATGGCTCTGACCACAAGGCAGCCCTCACCCCGCTGTGGTCGGCAGTAACTCGGGTGCCCCGGGCCTGACGTGGTGTTTGCTGCCGTCAGGTGAAGGCAGGAGTCTATGCCTGCAGCTTGCTGTATGGTCCTGAGCTGGAGTCCACCTCTCCTCCCATGCAGGGGCTTGGAGGAAGGGGCACTCTCCGGGGGTCCTGCCCAGGAAAATCTGGGTTCCCGACATGGTGCTCAGATCTCACCAGGCCCGCTACCCTGGCAAGCTTCTTTACCTCTGTGGGCCTCAGTTTCCTTAGCTATACAGTGGGGTGAATAATAGGGCCTATAAATGGGCTGAATATAGGATTAAGAAAATCCAGCTCCTGGCACAATTATATAGCACCTACTGTGTGCTGTAGCACTTAGTAGCATATACTTTTTTGAGACTTTAGTGTGCATCAACTCATCAAACTTCATCAGTGTCCTGTAGGTTAGACGATGATTATCGTCCTCATCTCGTGGAAACTGAGGCGCAGATGTTAAATGACTTGATAATAAGTGGCATAGCTCATGTTTGCACTCCAATAGATGGCTCCAAAGTCCATGGTTTTGGCCACTATCCAATATTCTCTTCCCAAGACAACGACAGTGACATTATGAGATTCTTGGGGGTTCTAAACCATGACCTGGCCCAGCACTCAAGGCTGGAACTGAGGGCCTAATGATCCTGGAAGTCCGTGGGGTCCTGGAGGGTCCTTGCTATTCCCATCCTCTTGTTTCCCTTGGGAAATAGGTTTGCATACAGCAGGCGGCTTCTAAATGTTGAACTACTCTACCTAGTAGATGCTCCTACGCACAACAGGTGGCTAAACTGCTGAGCCCTACACACAGTGGGTGGCTTATACATTCTGCACCACCCTACAAAGCAGGTATTCTGACATACAGGAGGTGACTCATAAATGCTGAAGCCCTGCAAAGCTCACATCCTTGCTGGATGCTAATGTTGGCATATGTCTTCCTGCATCTCCTCCCTCCAGCTTGCAAACCATCAAGAACCGGGAGATCTGTGCTAACCCCAAACTGACCTGGGTAAAGAAGATTCTCCAGAAGCTGAGCCCATGAGGAGGCACCAGGATGACCATGGCCTTGGCTTCTCCAGGAAGGCTCCCCAAGCCCTACCTCTCCACCATTGCAGCTGCTCCCCACAGAAGCCTGTGCCTGTAACTCTCTGTGTGCCCTCTCATCTCCATTCCTGCAGCTCTCACCCCCTGCTGGGCCTTCCTTCAGTCCCCTCCAGCCCCTTCTCTGCCCCACTGCAGCCAGGATCCCTGTCTTGACCACTTCCTGGCTCCCACTGCTCCAGAAGACGTCAGACCCTGCACCTGGCTCCAACCCATCAGATCTGGGTGCCTTCTTTGTGCCCAGCCTCACCCGCTTTCCCTTCCTGCACGTTGGGCTCTAGCTTCCCATTCTCCAAACCAACGATGCCCATTTCTCCTTGGGGGTCTTTCCAGGGCTATTTTTGCTATCCACACATGGCCAGGACCCACACGGCCAGGGTTTGCTCAGCCCAACTAATCAAAACATTTTTTAGACTTTCCTGGCTGCTAGACTTCTCCCTGCTTCTATCAGGCCTGACCACAGTCTGATCAGAACTTTAAGGGTTTAGGGGCCCACCTTCCAGCCCCACTGCTTAGACCCAGCTCCCCCTCTTGTTACTTTGCTCTTCTGGACTCCAGCATAGAGCACGGAGCCCAGGGCCTGGCTCAGAATCAGAGAGCTCTGCAAGGGGCTTCAGACCGAGTCAATAAAAGTGAGGTGTCCTCCTCCTCCCCCAAAAAGGGCACTTATTTCTCAGTACAGAGATCCATGTCACTAGAAAGGATAAGCTGGGTTAATTGTGAATTCCTGATTTGCCCAAACTCACCTGTCTTCCCCATTTTAACTATTCGCTGGTTATTTTTGCTTTTTTTCTTCCCTTGGAATTTATTGGTCTTCCACCGTGAAGCATCCAGGCCTGCTCTCTTCAGAATTCACCCCAGTCCATTTCCCCCGCCTCCTTCCTTAAACAGCTGATAATTTGAATGAATTCATGCCACGGTGTCGGTGGTGACCCTGGTTCGGTACTATAAGCTACAGTTTTATTTATATATGAAAAGAGGGTAATTAGTTAAGAGGTCAAGTGGATGAATGGGAGAATTTGAGGAATTGTGTTGGAGGGGACAAGGTGACACTTTCCTGGCCCCAGGAGGCAGCAGGCTATGGAGGGGGGCTGTGTGTGTGAAGGAGCCTGGGGAAACTTGCTCTTGGGTGTTTGGGGCCAGGCTAAGAACCAGGACTTGGGACAGCAGTGTCCCAGACAAAGGGAATAAACTTGACAATGCTTGCTCTTTTCTGAGAGGGCCTGGTACCACTCAGTGAGGTGGCTGGAACTGTCAGACCCTGAGAAGACCGTGTCACTTCTCTGAGCCTCATGTGACAGATGAAGATGAGAATAGCCATCTCACGGTTATTGAAGGGCTTGGGTCCAAAGTACACCTTGTGCCAGCCATGTAGCTCTGGGTCTTCCAGGCCTGTATCCCTCAGCTGCCCACTGCCCATGAATGGAGTCCCCTCCTGTCCTACCCTTGCCCCTCAGGCCTTCTGGAAAATAAATCCTCTTAAACTGTGTCTGCTGTGGTTCCTTGGCATTTGTGGTCCCTGTGAGATGAGGCAGGGGGCACCACAGCCCCCTCTCCCCCCAACTGGGGAAGCTTTGACACTTAAGTAGGAGATAAATTGCCCGAGGTCACTCTGATGGGCACAAAAGCCTGAGGGGCAGCCGCATAGGTGCCACAAGGAGGTCCAGGCATTAGCCCCAGAGCTCCTACCCACCAGCCCGGCCCAAGCCAGGCCCAGCTATCAGGAGGACCTGGAGAGACCCCAGAACTAGTGCTTGAAGCAGTAGACCTCTCCTCTTCACTAGCTCAAACTGAACTTCCCCCTCAAGGGTGGGTGCTGGGGAAAAAGAGAGAGAATTGGTCAGGAAAGTCTACCTCCTTCAACAAACAACTCCACATCTCAGGGGCTCAACTCAGTAGAAATGTTTCCTTCCTACATAAAGTCAAATCCAGCATTCCTGGTCTATAGGTAGCTGTCCATGTGCTCATCCAGGGACATAGACTCCTTCCTTCTCATGGCTGCTCTATCAGTCAGCTTTCCATTGTTATGACAAAGTAGCTGAGAAAATCCACTTAATAAAGGAAAAGATTCATTTTGGCTCAGTTCCAGAGATTTCAGTCCATAGTTTCTGGGCTTTGTGGGGCCTCTCTGATGGCATCACGGCATAGGCGTGTGGTTTGTAGAGGAGGTTTGTGCTCCTTGTGGTGGCTGGGAAGCAGGGACACACAGAAAGAAGGGAAGGGGCTGAGATCACAATATGCCCTTCAAGGAAATGCCCCCAGTGACCTCACTTCCTCCCTCCAAGCCCCACCTCCTAGAGGTTCTACTATGTTCCCATAGCACCAGGGGCTGGAGACCAAGCCTGCAGTACACAAGCCTTTGGGGATATTTCCAAACCATAGCAGCCACCCCCCTCTACAGTGTGAACTTTTCCATCACCCACAGATGGACGAAGAAGATGAAGGATTGTGGAAGGATGTGATAAGCCCAGCCAGGAAGGGTTGCTCACCCGTTGTGCCACATGCCATTGAGCACCTTGTCTGCAAGGGATGTTGGGAAATAGAGCCATACTGTGTTCAGGAGGAAGAAGAGGCAGGTTGCAGAGCACCTGGTTCACCTGGTATTGAACTCTCATGGTGTTGTCAACAGTCCTTGGGCTACCACCCTTCCCAGGAGTTAACTGGACCCAGCTTCCCTGCCAAGACAATAAAGCAGCAACCCTCTGCCCTTGAGTGTCTCTACTACTTCCTGAATGTAAGCACCAATTTGACACACATCTTGTCACATGTGCCCTTTGTTCCCTTTCTTATCTGCCTTACAATGGAATTTCCAGGGCAGTAGCTCTGACATGAAGTGTACTTGCCAGGAATAATGGTGCTTGCCAGCTGGAGTGGCACATACAGTGGGTTTAGACTGACATGGGCACTCTCCCTGCTCATCCTGTGGAACAAGGTTTATCTTGCTGAGCCTTGGTTTTCTCTCTATAAACAAGAGGCAAAAAAAAAAAAGCATATATCAATGTGTGTAGCTTTGAGACTCCCAAGAGATAAAGGATAGACATGCTTGTGATCTCAGCTCTCTGGGAGGCTGTGGTAGAAGGATCAAAAGTTCAGCCCAGCTGGGAAACCTAGAGACTTAGTGAGGCACTGTCTCAATATTTTAAAAAAAATCCTCAAAGAGCTGGGGAGGCAGCTCAGTGCAAAGGTCCGAGGTTCAATCCTCTGTGTTGAAAAAAGAAAAGAAAAAGAAAAAAGAGATGAAAGGAAAGAAAGAGCAGACAGCCCAACAGCTAACTGGACAAAAGGCTTGAACAGATCGTAAGAAGATATTCAAATAGCTAATAACCACACAAGATGGTACACATTTGTTATTTGATTTCTTGATGATGGAATTAAAGAGGAAAAGGAACTCTTCTACACTGTTGGTGGGAATGTAAATTGGTACAACTACTATGGAAATCAGTACAGCAATTCCTCAAGAAACTAAAACTAGAAATTCCATTTGGGGCAACTCACCTGGGAACCCTCCTATCTCTCAAGAGCTATCCCTATTCGCCAATAAATTTTTCAACTCTGAAGAAAAAAGAAATTCCATTTGATCCAGTGATGGAGACCACTATAAAGCAGCTCTGAGTAGAATTTAATATTAACCATTGGCTTTTTATGTTTACTTGTGAGTTGTGTGAAGCTTAGGAACCTTTTCTAGAGATGGACAGCAGACTCATAGTAAGTGAACCTATATGAGTCACTGGTCATCAATGAGGCCTATATTGGCCTATGAAGTGGTGACACCTCAAAGGACAACATAAAAACAGTTGAGAATGTTTGGGTCCAACTCCAATTAACTAAAAGGAGACTGCAGCTGCAGGCTCCACACTCCTACAATAAATGTCAGGCTAAAGATAAGGTAGTTTTCCTGATTGACATAATTTATTACTTGAGAAAATATTTCCCAAGGTCTTGCTAGATTTTCACATTTTTTTGAGTATCCTCCTCCTTTGTTTGAAAACCTAATAAATATGGGCTGCCCAGAGAAGTCTTTATCTTAACCCAGAAATTCTCAAATTCTGTAAGAATTGGACCCTCCTGGAGCCCTGAAATCATTTCAACTGTCTCATTTATTTAAACCTTCGCTGCTCACTCTTTTGGGAGATTGCAGGCCTGATCAGCTTGCAATAATTAAGGGTTATAAACCTGATATGTGGTGCCCAAACCAGGACTTATAATCCTTGGACTGGGAATTTTTATCCCAGGCAAGTAAGTCTACCTAGAGTGAAAAGTGTGGGAGACAAAAAAGGCCTTCACAGGACAAAAACTTCACTGGAGAAGATATGGAAGAGAAGCATTCCACAAGGAATAGAGGTGAGTCTTCCCGTTGTGAACAGTCATCTTATCTGGGAGTGAAATGGTCCAAAATTTTTCAGCCAGAGAGCAAGGATACACACAGCTGCTCCAAGGTTTGCTTAAGTGCTCAGGGGCTGGTGTCACCAAAACACCTAACAAAAATATTAAGAGCTGGGGAAAATCTTAAAAAGGCACACAGTAGAAAAAAGTCATTTTCCCTAAGACATTCTCACCTTGGAAGCCAGTTGATTCAGTTTTAAATCCATTGCAGAGCTCACCATCAATAGTCTCTGATTTGGATGGCACCAAGGAAACAAAAGAGCTCCCAATAGAGGCATCTGCAGCCAAAGCAGAGTTTTTAAAGGGACCACCTCAGCAGGAGCAGGAGCCTTTCAAAAAAATATTCCATATGGCTCAATCCAGAAACTTACAGGTTTTCAAGGGACAAGCAACCCCAAAAGGGGAAATCACTAACACCCTTCCTGCTTTCCAGTTGGAACCCCGCAAAATGCTACAAAGGAGGGGCTTTTTGTTCTTATTCCTTTTAAATTACTAAGTGCAGGGTTAGATCTGCTTGCAGCTTGCAGTCACTCTTGTCAGGGTTAACAAACCTACCCCAATTCCCACAGGAGTTTGTGGTCCTCCCCCTGAGGGAACAGTTGGTTTTGTACCAGGAAAAGGTGATCTAAATTTAAAAGGAATAACTATCATGCGTAGTGTGAGTGATGGTGATTGTCGAGATGAGATACACGTTTTTGCACATGCCATGGATCTCTGGTTCTTTGAACAAGGACAGTATGTAGCACAATTGATTTTGTTACCTATAGATAAACCTTCTGTTGTTAAATATAGACAGCTCATGAGGGAGCAAGACCCTCAGAGTAAGATTATAAAGAGAGAAATTTATTTTACATGAGAAGTGACTAAAAACAGGTTTAGGTGTTTTGTAAAGATTAAGAGAAGCCAGGCGTGGTAGTGCACACCTGTAATCCCAGCACTCGGGAGGCTGAGGCAAGAGGATCATTGCGAGTTTGACACCAGCCTGGGCTAGAAAGTGAGCTCAAGTCCAGTCTGAACTCCATAGCGAGACCTTGTCTCAAAAAAGACAAAAAATAAATAAATAAATAAGATTAATAGAAAATGTTTTGAAGGCTTAGTAGATACTAGTGCAGATGTGTCTGTACTTGCATTAGAACAATGGCCTGCCATGTGGCCAAAACAAAAGGCCCCTACCTCCTTAACTGGTCTGGGATCCTCTCAACCTGTACTACAAAGTGCCTCACCCTTGCCTTATAAAGGGCCAGACCAGAAAAAGGGTTTCTTTTTAGCATACATGGCACCTATTTCAGTCAATTTGTGGGGTAGGGATTGATTGATTGATTGATTGATTGATTGATTTATTTATTTATTTATTTATTTATGTTTTTCTCCGGTACCGGGAACCGAACTCACGACCTTGCGCTTGCCAGGCAGGCACTTTTGCCGCTGAGCTAAATCCCCAGCCCCTAGGGGTAGGGATTTATTACAAAAATGGAAGTTAATATTGACTTGTGATTCTCCCCTCTTTTTTTTTTTTTTGTCTTTTCTTCTGGTACCAGGAATCAAACTCACAACCTTGCACTTGCCAGGCAGGCGCTTTGCCACTGAGCTAAATCCCCAGCCCCTTGACTAGTGATTCTGATTTTAAATTTAAACAAACAAATTCTGATACTAAAATTAAACAAATAGATTTAAATCCTAAAATTAGACCAATAATGACTAAAATGGGATGTTAAGGAGACAAAGCGCTAGAAAAAAACTTACAGGAAATCAAAGACCTGGTAGGGACTACACTTTAAAATGACAGGCATATCATTTATCAACAGGTTTTTTAACAAGGGCCATCGATACTTCTCCCCGCAAAAGAGCTCTGCCTTTACAATGGAAAACTAAGGAGCCTGTTTGGTTATATCAGTGGCCTCTTACCAGGGAGAAACTAATCCAATTACACAAATTAGCTGAGAAACAATTCCAGCTGAGACATTTAGAAAACTCAGTCCTTGAATACACCTCTCTTTGTTATTGCAAAGAAGCTGGGCAAGGACAAGGGAGGTGGGAGAAACCCAAACGCCTGCTTTGTCAAAACATCATGTCATCTGCAGCAGGGAACACAGGCGGTGCACCCTG